TTTTGATACTTTTGAGTGGCATTTTGTCGATGCGAACCCTGAATAAGGGTCTGTTATCTTAAAACTAGGTCCTTAAAAATTTTTTTTTAATCCTTAAAAATTTTTCTTGTAAGAATTCTGAAAATTTTCCAAAATTCTAAAATTTTTGCCTCCTTATCGGGTGTTCATATCTCCCGGTATCCGATATCACTCAAATCAGTTGTCAAATCAGTCTTTAACTCTCATGATCCTTCCAAATCCCATATTATTCTCCGCAATCCCCGATATCTCAATAAATCCCCTTGATCACCTAAATCTCCAATATCCTTTATAATCCGCCTGTAATCATTATCAATTCAAACCCTTATATTTTCGACTTTAATTTTATGTTGAATAATTTTGAAAACAAAAAATACTTAATATCTCGTGTCTCATATCGGTTAGCCGACTTTTGCGGACCCGCATTTGCGGACCGACACTTACGGACCGACTTTTGCGGACCCGCATTTGCGGACCGACATTTGCGGACCCGAAATGAATTTTTAAAAAAGATGATAAAAGGCCGGTTTTAGTTATAATCGAATCCGCAAAAGTCAATCCGCAAAAGTCGGTCCGCAGGTGCGGGTCCAAAAATGTCGTTTAGCCCTCTTATCTCGTTTTATCTCATTCTCGTATTTTTTGAGAATCTCGTATCTTGTGAATCTCGTGTCTCGTATTTACGCGTCTCGTACTTTTACCTTTTTATCAATTTCACCACCATTATTATGTTTTTGTATGCAAATATATATTTTTGCTATCATTGAAAAGTGTAATACATCCTCAATCAAAATTAATTTTTTTCCTTTATTTCCATTAATTATACTTTTTATTTTGTGTGAATCTACGTTTTCAAGTCTACACATGCGGTAAACAGAACTATAAATGTAGTCGTTTTTATTATTTTCATCAATTTCATATAAAATTTCAATTTTGTATTTTGCTTCAAGAAAAAATTCCGTCATATCTTCCATCTCATTTTTGGACAATCTAAATGTCATTCGAAGGAGCTCGGCGAGCGGAGTCGAAAAGGCACTAAAATTAAGTTTAGGTCTCATTTACGGACAGAGTTATTCTCATAATAGTCAAAAAATATATTGCTGCTTTCTTGGACCCAAGCTGATTTTTGGGGTGAAAATCGAATATGAAATTGTAGCTAATTCAAAAGTGCACTTCAAGCTTAGTTGATGATTTCTGAAAGTTCTGTAACCTATTCCTTTTTACCGAAATTCAGCCATTAAATGCAAACTTAACCTCCGTAGTATGACAGAAAATGTTAATTAAACAAAAATGCAGTTGCTTGTAACATTTCAGAACCGATTTATCTCGGCGAGCTCTTTCGAAGGGCATTTTGTTTGTCCATATTGGATTATGGAAGATGTAGCGGAATTTTACCTCCTTCAATTTTATTAACTTCCATTCTCAACAAATTTATTTTAACACTTCCATCCTCGTTTTTATTATCTTCTTTTAATTCAACCAAAATTCGTTGATTATTTTTATAAACAGAAGAAAAAGAATATTCAAAAAATATTAAAAATAATATTTTAAAAATAAATAAAAATTTAACAAAAAACATTTTTAAAAAATTTTATTTTAATTTTAGTTGATAGATTCCTCCGTGTTTTATACGAGCGCGTTAGCCAAAAATTGTTTAGCCATAAAAATTTAGATTTCATAATTGCACTTTAAGTATACTATGAAATTCTGATAGACAAATATTTTATTTCTTAATAATTTTAAAAGGATTTCCGACAAAATAAGGGCTGATTTTTGTCAAAATTTTATACGAAATAATTAAAATTTCCTCACTAATAAGTTTATTTCTCCTCTAATATTCAAAAGTATTTCATAATAGTCAAGTTTTTATTATAAAAGAAATTTTTTATCATTACGGCTATACATGATATGTCAAGAAAATCAACATACATGCCTAGAAAATATTACCGAAATCATTAGGGATGTAAATGTTGGCGTCTTTTATGAAAAATGAGGGCTGAAATGCAATGCCCCTTTTCGTTTTCCTTCGGAAATTTAATGGAAAAGTACGAAAGGGGTTTTTTGCCATAATATTTTTTCGTAATTTTTTATTTTCGTAATTTGTAATTTTTTACAATATTTTCGTAATCGTAATTCGTAACTCAAAAAACGCCGTAATTCGTAATTACGACGCAACCCTACTTCCGAGGCAAGATTAATACAAGTTTTCAAATTTTTTTTTTATTTTTATTATTTAAAAAAGTATAGAGAGTGCGTATTTTCATCCTGGTATTGAAATAAACTTAAACGGAATAAATTCATTATTACAACAGTCTCAAAAGAATCATGCAAAGTTGACAAAATTAATATGTTTTTTGAATCTGGAAGGGCCTAGAAAAATTTTGAAAAGAGTAAATTTTAGCAAGGCTAATTTAATTGAGTCAATAACATTAAATGGCAAAAAACATGAAGAGAAAATGGAATATTTTTACATTGAAATTTGTTTAAAATTTGAAAATCCAGGCAATTATTTTATTAATGTCACAAATAATAATTATAATGGATGGTTTCAATTCTACGTAAAATTAAAAAAGCAAATGAGGAAAAATGTGTGTACAAAATGTTCAAGAAAATCTCTGATTTAGAGAAAAATATATTTCCAATTTTGAACATAGTATAGCAATCTACATATCCTGTGCCCAAAAGGGCACTTTAAATCCCAATTTATTTTATTAATTTAATTTTAATAATTATTTATCATTCCCCGCTCCGAAACACATTTTCACAATTTGCTTTTTTCTATTAAACATTTTTCTAACGCCCATTTTTTGTCCCCTATTTAATGCTTTGGCCAACTCCTTTTAATCACCTGCTTGTTCATCATTTTTACTTGTTGTTTTCCATTACTTGCTTGTTTTTTGATTGCCAGCGCTTTTTGAGCCCTGCCAATCAATTCCAACCAACCTTTTTAACTTGCTCGCATTTCAATATATTCTAAGACCACAAGGTGCCGATGCCGGATGAACCGGTGCCGGATGAAAATACCGCGGTATTTCCGGTATTTTCCAGCAGATAATTCACAAATTTTCAAAATTTTCGCCACCGGAGCTGTAAAAAGAAGAAATCTACATAAAGAGGATTTTGATAGATTTAGTGAATTTTGAAGTTTTAGATTTAGTAGTTACTAATTTGAATATTTTAGAATTAAGGAGGTGATATATTATCCGTTGCGGCTTATTTCTTTGCTCTCCACAATATAAAACTTCAACATCCGTTTCATCAATATGTTATAGAAAGTACATGCACAAAGAATGGAATATGTGAGAGATATTACCTACTTGAGCTTTTATGCGTTGTCCACCAACTCACCCCGTCAACTTTTACCGCCTGCTTTAATATTCCGCCTGCTTCATATTTTACTGATTTCACAACAAATGATTAAATATTCCGCCTGCTTCCTTATTCCGCATGTTTCATATTCCATTTGTTTCACAATTCCGCCTGTTCCAATATTCCGACAGCAACCTTTCTAAGACAAACATGAACAACAACAAACTACTTGTTCACAATTCCTCCGTTCCAATATTCCTCCTGATTCAATATTTGGCCTGCTTCATATTCAATTTGTTTCACAATACACCCTTGACAAATGGCAAATGAACGTTGAATATTCACGATTTATTTCACTTAATTAGTAAGTCAGACGAAGAATTTTTGGAATGGCTCAGTGAAAGAAAATTAATTTGGACCACCCGTTTTTGCGAATGTGGGAAGGAAATGAGTAAGGTATACAAGACTGTTAGAAAGTGACCTTTATGGAAGTCAATAGTAAAAAAACCACGAAGGAAAAAGACCATCGAAGGGGTTTTTTGATGGCACATTCTTCGCTGGTGCTCATTTATTACCGAAATATGTGGTCGAATTTACTTACTACTGGTCTCGAAAAACCCATAGTCAAGATGAATTCCAACATGACATGGGAATAGGTGTCCACGGACTGTTGTACATTGGAAAATGTTTTGTCGTGACATAGCAGCAGCTTATTTCCTTAATCATCCATAAAAAATTGGTTTGATTGGTTTTCCCATTTTTTATACATGATACATTTCAGGAGGCATAATTGAATATGTCGAAATTAACAAAACTAGTTCTTTGCCGTGTTGAGAGAGGGGAATCCAGTAAAGCGTTTATGGAACCTGTAGACGAAAGAAATGCAATAATTTTGCTCCCAATTCTGCAAAAATATGTTCAACCTGGTTTGTTTTCTAGACATTGCCCTTTTATAATTTAGTTTAGGTTCAATAATAGTTTCGGATTGTTGGAAAGCTTATGGAGGGATTGAAAACTTACCGGAGGGTTACCATCATTACACGGTAAATCATAGCATTGGATTTGTTAATAAGGAAACTGGGCAGCACACAAAATCTATTGAATCCCAATGGCAGAAATTCAAACAAGATCATAAACACGTTATGGAAAAATAGGGGATAACAAAGCTACGTTAAAATTAAAAAGATGTCCAATAAAATTTCTGATTTGTGAAAAATATATTAAAAAATTTAAGACATTCCATAACAATAAAAATTTCAAAAACAGGGGTAAGTGATTTTTGGCTAAATGAATCTAGTGTTTAATGAAGATTTTTCGCCTTGGGTACTTTTAAACTATTTCCCAATGTACAATTAATTCCTCAATTACTCTACTGATTAATGATGGAAGTTATGAATTTTTGGATATATGTAGATGGAACAACAAAAGAAAATTTTAAAATTTGTTTCATTTATCAAAAAATTTATTTAAAGATAGTTTAATAGCAATTTTAAAATCTATAGACTAATATTTATTGTTTAATTATTTATTATTTTGTATGTACCAGGGATCCTACCGACCCGATTTCCGATTTCCCGAAATCGGGAAATCTATTTTCGTCGCAGGAACCCTGGTTTGTAAATACATTTACAATTGTACTTGTTCACCCCTGTCTTTTAAAACATTTTTTTATAATTTTAATGATTCGGCTCAACAATCTTCACTCTTTCTTTAGTGATTCCATCCTCGTCCAAGTAAAATTCATAACTTCCATCAATAAATAAAGGATAAGTTACGGCAACAAATTTTGTTTCGGCATGGTTGTTGAACAAATTTCCAATATAAACATTCATTTGCTCATCCTCAATATCATCTACATCGGTTTTTGATATTTTTATTCTTATGCAATGTCTCAAACGTTTCAATACATTTTTCTCCAATTCAGAAAATTTCTTGAACAATTTAAACACACACCTTTCCTCGTTTGCTTTTTTAATTTTAACGTAGAATTGAATCCATCCAACAGTAAAATCCTTCATGAGAATAATAAAATAATTTCCAGGATTTTCAAATTTTAAGCAAATTTCAATGTGTGAATATTCCATTTTCTCTTCATGTTTTTTGTTTTTTAATGAAGTTATATCAATAAGATTAGCTTTGCCAAAATTATCTCTTTTAAAAATTTTTCTAGGTCCATCCAGATTCAAAAAACATATTAATTTTGTCAACTTTGCATGATTGTTTTGAGACATCCGTAATACTAATTTTTTCCCGTTTAAGTCTACTATTTCAATACCACGATGGAAGTAAGCACTATCTATACTCTCATTTGATATTTTATGTAACTTAAAATCAATTTGTGGAAAAAACATAGTAGTCAATGACATTATCATCTAAAAATTGTTAATTTGAATTTAAACCCCCCCCCCTCCGCTGTGGTGATATATCATGCAATAAGGGTCTGTTATCATCAAACTACGCGTTATCCAATGGAGCGAAAAATCGTAAACAAGAGACGTGTTCGTACTTTTACCTTTTTATCAATTTCACCACCATTATTATGTTTTTGTAAGCAAATATATATTTCTGCTAGTATTGGAAAGTTTAACACATCCTCAATCCAAATTAATTTTTTTCCTTTATTTCCATTAATTATACTTTTCATTTTGTGTGTAGTTTCGTTAATGATACCACATTTGTATGAATAGAAACTCGTATAAATACGATCTTTTTCATATTTTTCATCAATTTCGTATAAAATTTCAATTTTGTATCGGCTAAATTCTCCTTCAATTTTATTAACTTCCATTCTCAACAAATTTATTTTAACACTTCCATCCTCGTTTTTATTATTTTCTGTAGATTTAACCAAAATTCGTTGATTATTTTTATAATCAAAAGGAAAAGAATAATCAAAAAATATTAAAAATAATATTTTAGAAATAAATAAAAATTTAATTAAAAACATTTTTAAAAAATTTTATTTTAATTTTAGTTGATAGAATCCTCCGTGTTTCATACGAGATCGTTAGCCAAAAATTGTTTTGCCAATAAAAATTTAGATTTCATAATTGCACTTTACGTATACTATGAAATTCTGATAGTCAAATATTTTATTTCTTAATAATTTTAAAAGGATTTCCGACAAAATTAAGGCTGATTTTTGTAATTAAAATTTCATCACTAATAAGTTTATTTCTCCTTTAATATTAAAATGTATTTCATAATAATCAAGTTTTTATTATAGAAATTCTTTATCATTACGGCTATCCATGATATGCCCAGAAATCGACAAATATGCCCAGAAAATATTACCGAAATCATTAGGGATGTAAATTTTGGCGTCTTTTATGAAAAATTCGGGCTGAAATGCAATGCCCCGTTCTAAATGATACTTATATTTGTAACATTGAAAAAAATATAAGGATGATTCTCCTAGCAGCATTTAAAACGTTTAGGCGGTGATTAAACGATCTTTTCTTTAGAAATATCTCTCATTTGAATATGCCATGGAGAGATTGAGTGATGTAGTGGGGAAGAAAGGAGGTTTACCTTTCTATACATATTAAGGGAAACGGACTCAATTGACTATGATATTCTTCAGAGCAGAGTTGCGTCATAATTGAAAAATTTTCTTCGTAATCGTAATTTGTTATTTTTATAAAAATTTCGTAATCGTAATTCGTAACTCAAAAAATTTCGTAATTGGTAATCGTAATTCGTAATTTTTATAAAAATTTCGTAATGTAATTCATAATTCGTAACTCAAAAAATTTCGTAATTGGTAATCGTAATTAGTAATTTATAAAAAATATTTAAATTAATTAAAAATCAAATATTTATTATAATTATAATAGCGACTGGGGCGTAGCCACTTAATGGAGCGAAACTGCTGTCTCTAGCGTTTTGGCATGTACGGAATTACGTTTTATTCTGGTATATTATTTTCATAAAATACGTATAGATATAATTTTATTTATTTTAATACTCACAATTTTTATTCTGAAATATTATTTTCATAAAATACGTATGATATATTTTATTTATTTTAATACTCACAATTTTTATTCTGAAATATTATTTTCATAAAATACGTATAGATATAATTTTATTTATTTTAATACTCACAATTTGTATTCTGGAATATTATTTTCATAAAATACGTATAGATATAATTTTTTTATTTTAATACTCGCAATTTTTATTCTGAAATATTATTTTCATAAAATACGTATAGATATAATTTTATTTATTTTAATACTCACAATTTTTATTCTGGTATATTATTTTCATAAAATACGTATGATATAATTTTATTTATTTTAATACTCACAATTTTTATTCTGAAATATTATTTTCATAAAATACGTATGATATAATTTTATTTATTTTAATACTCACAATTTTTATTCTGAAATATTATTTTCATAAAATACGTATAGATATAATTTTATTTATTTTAATACTCACAATTTGTATTCTGGAATATTATTTTCATAAAATACGTATAGATATAGTTTTATTTATTTTAATACTCACAATTTGTATTCTGTAATATTATTTTCATAAAATACGTATAGATATAATTTTATTTATTTTAATACTCACAATTTGTATTCTGGAATATTATTTTCATAAAATACGTATAGATATAATTTTATTTATTTTAATACTCACAATTTTTATTCTGAAATATTATTTTCATAAAATACGTATAGATATAATTTTATTTATTTTAATACTCACAATTTATATTCTGAAATATTATTTTCATAAAATACGTATAGATATAATTTTATTTATTTTAATACTCACAATTTTTATTCTGAAATATTATTTTCATAAAATACGTATAGATATGATTTTATTTATTTTAATACTCACAATTTTTATTCTGTAATATTATTTTCATAAAATACGTATAGATATAATTTTTTTATTTTAATACTCGCAATTTTTATTCTGAAATATTATTTTCATAAAATACGTATAGATATAATTTTATTTATTTTAATACTCACAATTTTTATTCTGGTATATTATTTTCATAAAATACGTATAGATATAATTTTATTTATTTTAATACTCACAATTTTTATTCTGAAATATTATTTTCATAATATACGTATAGATATAAATTTATTTTAAACTCACAATTTTTATTCTGAAATATTATTTTCATAAAATACGTATAGATAAAATTTTATTTATTTTAATACTCACAATTAGAGCCCGGCTCGATACGATTTTTTTCGATATTTTTCGATATATATTTTTCGATATTATCGAAAAAATACGACCGAGAAAATTTTGTCTTTTTCGATATTTTTCGATATTCGGTATTTTTCGATATTTATCGAAAAAATACCGACCCAGAAAATTTAAATATCGAAACAATCGACCGACCAAATGATAAAATATCGAAAAAAATATCGAACGTCATTTTTGTCAATAATTTTAATTTTTAATGCCAAAAAGGACTAAAATGGAAGAAATCTAGCTTCTCGGTCTTCAAAATTCTTAAAATTTTCGCCTGCGGCGCTGAAAATGAAAGTAATCATGTAGCCTGGTCTACCAAAATTCTCAAAATTTTCGCCTGCGGCGCAAAAAAGGAAGATTTCTGGCTTCTTGTTCTTTGGATCACTAATATAAATAATTTTTACTTATGACACTGTAAATGGAAAAATATTGCCAACTCAATTAGGGGGATTTCGATAAGTGCGAGTGATTTGAAGTAATTTTCAAAGATTTGGGATGAGTGATATTCAAGGATTTGGGTCACTGTCAACATCCAGGTGGCAAAAACCACCGCAACCACCGTCACCGTGAAATCAGTCACATGACCGTAAATGTTGACCCTGATTTGTAGGAATATCTCCAAATTACAAGATATCCGCTTTATCCCTCGTAATCCACCAAAATCCCATGATATCCCTACTACGCCCAACTCCACAATATCCATCTTATTCACTCTAAATCTCTCGATATGTTATACATCATAATCCTCCAATATCCTTTTAAAATCCACCTCTATACATATCTACTGATATGTATATCTACTGATATCCTCTCAATCCATCCACATATAAATCCCCTGATATCAGTTTCTCATATAATCAATCTTAATCTCAAAATTTTCACATTTATTTTACCATTTTAAATTTTTTTTAATTTTTTTGAAAAAATCGAAAAATATCGAGACTTTTTTTTCGATATTTTTCGGTTTCGATATTTTTCGATATTTATCGAAAAAATATCGACCAAGAAAATTTTGACTTTTTCGATATTTTTCGATATTCAGTATTTTTCGATATTTATCGAAAAAATATCGACCGACCCCTCCGTCCGGGCTCTACTCACAATTTGTATTCTGGAATATTATTTTCATAAAATACGTATAGTATAATTTTATTTATTTTAATACTCACAATTTGTATTCTGGAATATTATTTTCATAAAATACGTATAGATATAATTTTATTTATTTTAATACTCACAATTTGTATTCTGGAATATTATTTTCATAAAATACGTATAGTATAATTTTATTTATTTTAATACTCACAAATTGTATTCTGGAATATTATTTTCATAAAATACGTATAGATATAATTTTATTTATTTTAATACTCACAATTTGTATTCTGGAATATTATTTTCATAAAATACGTATAGATATAATTTTATTTATTTTAATACTCACAATTTGTATTCTGGAATATTATTTTCATAAAATACGTATAGTATAATTTTATTTATTTTAATACTCACAATTTGTATTCTGGAATATTATTTTCATAAAATACGTATAGATATAATTTTATTTATTTTAATACTCACAATTTTTATTCTGAAATATTATTTTCATAAAATACGTATAGATATAATTTTATTTATTTTAATACTCACAATTTTTATTCTGAAATATTATTTTCATAAAATACGTATAGATATGATTTTATTTATTTTAATACTCACAATTTTTATTCTGAAATATTATTTTCATAAAATACGTATAGATATAATTTTATTTATTTTAATACTCACAATTTGTATTCTGGAATATTATTTTCATAAAATACGTATAGATATGATTTTATTTATTTTAATACTCACAATTTTTATTCTGAAATATTATTTTCATAAAATACGTATAGATATAATTTTATTTATTTTAATACTCACAATTTGTATTCTGGAATATTATTTTCATAAAATACGTATAGATATAATTTTATTTATTTTAATACTCACAATTTTTATCCTGAAATATTATTTTCATAAAATACGTATAGATATAATTTTATTTATTTTAATACTCACAATTTTTATTCTGAAATATTATTTTCATAAAATACGTATAGATATGATTTTATTTATTTTAATA